AATCACTTCCTCTTAATTGGTAAAAATCAGACACAAAATAAGGTTTCCCTTTCTTGGTTCTGCCACTTTCGCAGTATGATTCTATTATTATGAAAAAAATCAAGAAATTATTAGCTTGTTACAACTCCAAGTTCCTCTCTAACCCAAGTTTCAATTAAAACCAATTAAATTCCTACCCTCTTTCTTCCCCATCTCCTCTGTCTGATATCCCTCTACCTCCCAACCTCCTAATACAGATCATGATGCCCCAACTTCCTCTTTAGCTCCTTCCGCTTATTTCTTTCTTCACTGAAGCCCTCCTTCTATTTTTAAAGGGACATTGCATTTTTCTAATCACCTGGACAGTAGAGAAAGTATTGAATTCAGGGGACTATGAGCAGATCTCCTGATCCCAGAGCCAGCAGAAACTAGTGCTATTGTTTCTTTGGACATTCCTAATTGCTACAACAGTGGATGGTGCTCCATAGAATGTTCCAACCTCCCCCCTGCATCTGCAGCTGCACCATTCCAAGAATTGTACCCCACTCCCTCTGCCCTGGTATTATGTAAGAACCCCCATGTTAAACCCCCTCCTCGGGCACTCCACGACTTTGGTGCTGTGTGGTGGTCCCTAATTGTAATTCCTTTGCCTTCATTAAAGAGCCTAGTTTTTGTTACTTAGGTAGTATTCTTTATTTCAGGTTGATATATCCATTCCTCAAGACCCTTTACCATCTCTCACAAGAAGGGAAACCAGCCTACACATTAAAAACAGGACTGAATAGTCATCTCTCTTTGTTATATAACCTACTGGAACAGTATTAGACAGACAGCCTACATAAATAAAATACATCTAAAAGAAAATTCATTGATAAAATGAAAGCATAGTCAATTTTTAATTAATCAATTGAAGATTATCCATTAATGCCCAAACTGATAATTCAATCATATTACTGAATGGAAGGCGAAGAGGATAACTAAAGAAAATGTAAAGTGCTTTCCCAACAAAACGAAGACTTACTACCTACAACTGGTAAACAACCAAAGCTTAGCATGACAGCATACATTGGTATGTCACTGCAATAAACTCTTGGAAGCTAAAAAGAATATTATTTCCAACTTATAAAAGCAAAATTGGTAGATATGAGTCACTACTAGATATGAGAATTATCATAATTTAAAATAAAAAAACCAGGGCAGAAAATGAAAAGACGTCATAGGAGGGGGAAAATTCTGTTTCATTAAACAATGTGCCACATATGGCCTAAGTCACTCCAAATTACACAAAACAAAGTTTTTAATTCCTTTCCCTTCTCTACTCTCTGCCTTACCTTGCTTCCCATTTTATTTTCCACCTTTTTTTTTTCTCAAATCTGAACACTATCTGTGGTATTTCATCACCACAAAATTTACATCAACAAAAATTAAAAGGTAAAGAGTAGGAGAGAATGTTGTTAAGAAACTCAAGATCTTTCTTGTGATTTAGTAACAGAAACCACCAATGGTGGAAGGAAATGGCTGCATCTGTTAAACACTTGGCTTTAAGAGGCAAAACACAGGTCTCTACATTTCTAAAATGATTCAGCAACTCTTGCCATAAACTCCTAAAGCACAAGCTGATTATGTTGAAAAATAACTGTATCCTACAAATAGAGGAAGTTAATTTTGACATCTCATTTCAACTACTCTCCCTGTAAGAAAATTTCTTTAAGGAGGAACTTAGAAAGAATACTCAGTTATAATTAAATTCCTTTATACCATAAACGCAAACAACGGGAACTGAAAGAAAAGTCACATGGCAGAAACTAATATCATTCAAAATATGAGAACTGCAGCTATAAACACTTATAAGGTAGATTTAAATCTTTCTCCACATAATCTGTCATCATAAATGAGTTTCCATGGTGGGTGGTATATTAAATAGTGTCCTAACTATAAATGCCTACTGTGAAGTCACAGAATGTGCCCTGGGTGGCTTTTTTCATTCATCATTACCTCATTTTGACTAATGTGACCCACATCTCACAGTTCCAGACACTACTGGTGTGTGAAGTTCTACTTCTAGAAGAAGGTTAAATGACTGATTTAGTATTATTGTTGTGATTATTATGATTGTTATTATTATCATTTATTGTCTGCAGTGTATCCCATCTCATTCTGAGACTTCTTTCTTAAGCAGAAGAATTATTTCTGTTAAGTATAGTTTATAGTAATCATTTTTGCTTGCACCTTAAAAATTAATGGATTTCAGGGGCAGCTAGGTGGAGCAGTGGATATAGCTCTGGTCTTGAAGTCAGGAGGCCCTGAGTTCAAATCCTGCCTCAAACACTTTACACTTACTAGCTATGAGACCCTGGACAAGTTTACTTAGCCCCAACTGCCTCACCAAAAAGTAAAAGTGAGGTGGCGCAGTGGATAGATTACTGGCCCTGGACTCAGGAGGACCTGAGTTCAAATGCGACCTCAGACACATAACACTCACTAGTTGTGTGACTCTGGGCAAGTCACTTAACTCCAACTGCCTCACTAAAAATAGATAGATAGATAGATAGATAGATAGATAGATAGATAGATAGATA